TAGATATGCTATGAAGTTCTGTAATTCAATACAAGTGCAAGCCTTAAAAATGTATAGCTTAATTTTTTCTTAAAATGTATTTCAATAAAAGCTGATAGCTGATCACACTACAAGTAGTACCCTGATGAATAAGAACCATTTTGTATTATGCTTGTTTTACTCATGCACTAGTTCAGTGGACAGTATAAAGAAGTTGTATCTCTCAACAGGACAAGTCTTGCAATGTCCTGACACTGAAACTTGATCTCTGCTCACAGTTCACCTCAGTTTCACATGTACCAGAAGAGCCTTCCCATGAGTACTCACTGTATCAGCAGCACATAATGCCAAAACCTTGACCCATAATGAGAGCCAAAAACGGGACCAGAGTTGACAGGACAGACCACTGCTCATTAACCTAGTTATCAACTTTAGTACAAAGAATTTTTAATTTACTGTAGACATCACGAAGTTAAGTCACAAAAGAGACCATGAAATGCCCCAAATGACACATAAGTTTCAGTGGAAGGCTTCCTTGTCTTCAGCTCATAGGGAAGACACTCTGATCTTAAAATAGAAGTGCAGCCTGGGACTGTCATTTACAGGATTACAGGAATTAACCTGGACTGACATGGAAATCAAGACATTGTACAAAAATAATTATTTATCATTTATTCGTCATCTCTATCAAAAAATATGGCAGGGAAAGACAATGTACACTTTAAAATACAGATCATTTGACATAGCTACTATTGAATGTAACAAGCCCACCCAGAGAAAACCATATCCATAGAGATGAATGCAAGTCTTATGATGACTTGACCAGTGCAGAAAACTCTGTAAATTAAATAACATTTAATTAGTGCTTGCAGATGATGCAAACCTCAAAACAGGTATTGTGAGTTCCTATGTACCTGTTAGTTCACATAATCAGGCTGTTTACAGTTTTATATTTTATGAAAAAGCAGAGTATACCTTCCCAACCAATCTTCCCATCTCCATCAGAGTCTCCCTCCAGAAGAAAGGCTCTGGTCTCTGCTGCAGTCAGAGGCCTGGCTCCTTTTGAGAAGTTTTGCAGGAATAATCTGTAAGATTCAAACACAGTGAGAACACAGACCCAGGCACACATAACCTACCATTTTGGATGACCAAAATAAAAAACAGAATGTTTGAAGAGTGTTACATAACTGTAACTCATCTTGTTCTATAAAGCCACTTTTGTCCTGATCCAAAATCTTAAACACCCGCTCTATCTCTGATGGCGTTTTCTTGGACAAACCCACAGATTTGAAAAACATCTTGGGGTTGAAAGAGTCCTTTGCTGAAAAGAAGAAAGAAAATATAGGTTAGGATCTCACAATAACATTTACCTCCTATAACATTGTACCCATAAACCTCCAGAAACCCATTCCTCACCTTTGCATGCATTAATTGCTGAATTAATATCAGATGCTGCCAGGAAGTCAGTGATTGCCATGATGCTGGTCGGTGTGATGCTGTGTGACTGGTGACCACAGTCTTTACATGGCTGTGTCAGACACCACCAGTGTCCTTCTGTCTGCTGTCACCTACAGCTGACCACTTCACTTCACAGTGTGATTTAAAGAAGACACGCTCTTACCTTTTGCACATTTGTTTTCCAATGATCAGGGAAAACAGAATTGCATCTTCATGAACAACTGGAAATAAAACAAAAACAAAATTACACAGTTTTAATTGCTTGGACTTGGTGAATGGCTGTTCAGCAGTGGCAGAAGCCTAGCCATGCAGTAAACAACATACATCCTGTTATGCACTCCCACCTGTTATGCACTCCCGCTACATGCTATGGTTATGAAGTCATCTGCACCATATCAAGACTAAAGTACACTACTGTTAAACACAGCAATGTCCTTCACAGATCTATCTGTGTTGAGTGAAACCATATTAATAAACCCAAGACAGCCTGGCGGCAGACCTAACTTGATACATGGGTAGGTAAATACACATTAAGCTAATACATTGAAGTTTCTATGTTTTTGTGTGGGGGACTTGCCTTCTGTTGAACCATGAGCAGGAGATAAACCAGCAGATCCATGAGGAAGGCCTGTTTCCTGAGCGCGACCCTTGCTAACTCTTTATCCACATTATACTAAACTTGTCTGTCATGCTAATCAACATTAGCTGTTTTCTGGTTGATGTGGAAGCAAATTCAAATTTGATTATATGTAAGGTTATGTACTTTAGCCTTTAAATTATATTATTGAGAACATTATTGTTAACTATTTTAATTAAGGCAGTATTTCGTAATATGTAGCTAACCGAGGTGAGATAACTTTGCTAATAATATCTGACTATTCTAACTATTTAATTAGGAACAGATTAATAATCATAACAGTAATAAACTCATGTTAAGGTGTTGGTACTGTCAGTTTTACTTCTCATATGTGGCCTAGGTCGGAGAAAGCCTGTTATTCAATGCAAACTACATATTACAGTAAAATAATCTATTCTTTGTGTATTTTTCACAGGTTCCTTTAGCCTATGTGAAAGTTTGGGGATTCTCTGAGTCACTGTGGTGTATCCTGGTTGCATGGGGACCAAGGAGCAGGCAGAATGACGTACAGCAGATTTCCTCAGGATGGACCCCAGTAACCGGCCGGAGGAAAGACAAAAACATCCTCTGCTCCCCTCATGTATATGTGCCCCACTTGGCCTCGTCCAACTTTATGGTGTGAGCCTTGTTTTCAGGAAGATCAGGCTTCCTGTGTGATGGGGCTGTGGAGGAGAGGAGGAAGAGGGGGATGGGACAGAGGAAAACCCATTCAGAGAGGAGCTGATATGCGTGAGGTGATAACTTTGTTCATGATTTGGTCTTAAAAAGTGTTATATGTTTGACTGCAGTGTTCACTAATCCATTATAGTGTTATTAATCTTCTTGGTAACATTTTTTGCATCATCTAGATTGATTTTCTTTTCTTTTTTTCAGAAACTGACTTCATCTAATAGTAACTTTAAGAATAGGCTGCAGGTGTGGCAACTTGGACTTTGGATTTAACTGGAGTTGACCTTATAGGTGAGTTATATTGAAAAAAAGTGGCCACTGGTGCTGAAAAATTTGTAAGTTTGATATGTCATGGGCTGTGATTGCTATACCTGTGTTCACTATTTTTACCTGATACAAAACTAACAATGTGTTGCGTTAAATGGTGTTTAAAACATAACTGTCAGTACTATTGACTATACAAATTACCTTGGCTACTTAGTTGATCAACTTTCAAAGTGGTTGCACTTTATAGTAATAGTACTGCTTTAATATATTTAATACCTACAATACAGTGGACTTGGTGACACTCTCAAATTCAAACAAGATGCTCTCTAACATGCCCTATAAGCCCCGCCTACTACCTCCGCTTTGCCAATCACTGTTCTTTTATAGCTGTCAAAAGTTAGATGTGCGTAGATGTGAAAACAAACCACTCAGCAGACTAGAGAGGGACGTCTCAATATCAGATTTAATGTTTCAGTAATTGTGAGAAGGAAGAAATATCAAGCAAGGCTACCAATCTGTGTCACTGGCCGCTTAGACCACAAACACTCACTCACCACATTCATAATAGGTATGATACATAGACACAGTATACAGTAGAGCAAGTGCCACCCCACTACTGTTGAGTTTTTATGAAATTAAACATAAATGGCCAGGTAACACAGCAATTTATATTGAAATTTCCTTTGTAGTAAAGATTAAATCAAAATATATATTTTCAGCTCTAAAATGATATGAAGATAATGTGTTGCAGTGCTTTCAGTTATTCTACTACAGTGTGGCGTATCATTACATTTTGGAACCTGTAGTATAGTTACTTAAGTAATATGGATGTGTCTTGTACAACGATAGAACAGCTTAAAGTGGACCAAAGAGCTTCAATAATTGATCCATTAATCCATTTGTTTACAGGAAAACCTCTCCTCCACATTACAGTAGGACTCCCTGTCCCTGAATTATTTGTTGAAGGTCCGACTAAAGAAAGTCGATCCTTTTCGCTTGTTTGGAGCTGTTACAGTATCTTGAATGAGATCAGGGGTGAGTTTTTATCCTTTACTTCGGATGTTACTGAGGTCTGGCCTGATGAGAGTCATTACATTTTGCACTTAAAAGTTGCATTTGAAATAGAGCTGGCTGGATGAAGACCAGTTGGCTGAGTTTGCATGTGATACAAGAGAGAAGAGTGAAAGGGGTTAGAGGGATTTGGACCCAGAGACTCTCTTGACAATTCGATTTTAAACTCATGCTGAGATGAATACTGACAAATTAAACTATTGAAGTGAAACGTTTCTCAAAATATATCTTTGTAACAGAGCAAGTGTCATTTAAAATACTGGTCCCATTGGGCATTATATAAACATCAGAGTTTGACATGAAACATACAGTCCTGTGGTTTGATACTATAGCAAGAAGTAGTGTGATATACCCTCATGGGCTGGTCTGATACATAAATAGATATTTATGTATATTCCACTGCCAAGCCCCGCTGAAAACCTCATCACATTTAAGATTAGCCTCTGAAACGTATCTGCTCTTATCTGATGATAGCGCTGTGTGCTAGTGTGTGAAAATGAGAGCTCTGTCAGCAAGCGCTCAAACCCAGCTATTCCATAAACACGTTAAACTTGTCGTGGAGTCCCTCAGCTGTCCCGGTGCCTGCTATGGGTGTTTGTGAAGGGGATAAAAGTCAGGGCTGCTCTTTTCAACAACTTTTACCACTGTCTTTCATCCACCAGAAAGCCCAGACTCCTATATACTCCTTTCTCTCTCCTGTTCAGATATCCCACGTTACAATGCTTTTTGAGTGTCTCTGAAATGCTTTCACAGCTGAATTTTTGTCATGGATGACTGTTTTCTCCCACTTTTGGCCTAATTCATCTAGTTATTTAATAGATCCATGGTTCAGCTTCAGATATTGCAGCTGAAACCGAGTGACAGACAGGAACAGGCCTCAAATTACATTTGTAATACTGTGCCAATGTAAAGCTTCAGTATTGAAGGGGATAAACATTCAGATGTCATGCATGTTTATATCATATTTTTCCTTGGCGCTGGATAGTTCACAATTCATTAGCTTTATTGGTTTTATTGTTAATGCTTGAGCTGAATTAAAAAATATATATATACAACAACACTGACACCTAGTGGAGAGGCACTCTTAATATAGACAGCAAAAATGTGTATTATTATTATTATTATTATTATTATTATTATTATTATTTGTTTTGAAGGGTATAAATGACAAGAAAAAAATAATGTGAGCAAAGAAAACAGCAAATTGGAGGAAGCATCTATCTGTAGAAGTACTATTTTGCAGAACAATTCTTCCCGAATTTTGAATAAGTTATATATCTACAAATTATGTTTTCAGTGATGTTTTTGATTGAGGTTTGAGTGCATAGCACTAGCTGACCAAATGAAGTGTTGTTTACGCTCTTTAATTTGTTAACTAGGTGGTGTCTTGTCCTGCCAGCCAGCTGCTGAATGTAAACAAGGTGCAGTATGTAAATCTGCCTTGAGAAGGATTTTGTATGTTGAAAGATGGGAGTAGCTAATGACTGTGGGCAATCCCTGTGCTTATATTATAACGGCAGGAAAGAGTGCTCCGCCTTCACCACACCCTCACCCTCCTACATCTCTCTGTCTTCACACCTTGTCTGTCTCTGGCTCTCTGTGCAGCTCACACTTTTCCCAATAAGGCTGTTCCCCTTGGCAGTAGTTGTTGCGAGTTTCATTGGGCTGTGATCCCAGTCTGGAGTGGACTGTACAGCAGGTGGACCACTGTCAACAGAGCCTCATAAATACACTACCCACATCTGAGACGGATCCAGCTTTTATGTCGTCATATTATAGGACTCTCAGTCAGCAAACACTTTAAGGCCCAGTAATCCCCAACAAAATGAATAGACCCCTTTACTGCTGTGTGCTGAATGACAACAAATTAGTCTCTGTATGTGAAGCTCCCCTGCTATCTGACTGTCTTAAAGTTAAAAAGGACCACCACCCTACCTCCTTGACTAATGTGTTTTATGACCGTTCAAGCATGCACCTTGAACAAATATGTACACAAGTATCATCTATGTTATGTTGTTGTTTTAGTGTCACCTTTCCCCCCTCAGACCCTGCTGTGTCCAAATAAAGCCTGCAAACTGGATCTATCACTTCCCCTCTTCTTACCCAGGATGCTTTGCTGGGACAGTGAGTTGAAACACTTGAGCTCTATGTCCCTCTCCTAGAATAAGCCCAATGTTCTCATGTTACCATCCTGTCACGGATTGGTCGGTGTCAGTTTGCCGTCTGCGCCTTGATACAGTGATTCTGTGGCTGAGAGGGTAGAAAGATAGTGTTCATAGTTTTCCCAGAATGCACTGTGCACAGCTTCATTAGAACAGACAGATGTAATAATGTAAAAAAAAAAATGTAAAAATGTACTGCAAGCCCTGTGATTGTTTTTGATCTTAGGGGCTCTATTACTCCAGAATGTTATAAATTGGACACTATTCCGAGTTGAAAAGTATTCAATGTATTCATGGTTGCAATAATATCTTGTTGCAACTGCAGTGCAACTTATCTGTGTTAGCTTATTTAATTATTTTCTTTTTTTTTTAAAATTTTGCCTATATATCCTTTTGAGTATTTTTTCCATTCAATTTGAATTTGACTGCTCTAACAAGTAATTGCCAGGAGAATTTGCAAACATTTAGATTAAACATAAAAAAAATCTGAATTCAAATTAATGAATTAATGCAATGAACTTTAGTTAGAATTTAGGCCTTACATCTCAGTGAAAATGCTTATAACTCATCTACTTGATACAGTAGCAGTTAAGCTAATGGAATATGAGCAAGTCACATCAATCATATGAAAATAGAATGTGTAAGAAGCTCGCATGTACTGCTGGGTCCAGTGAAAAAAGAGTTGGACATTGAAACACTGTACTCTCTGAGGCTGTCCTACCCTACTTGACCTGTGGGTGCAGTGATCTTGGGGTGACCAGAAATTACCATAACAGGAAATATAAGAAGAACTCATCCCCATAAGTAGCACCATCTCTCCATCTCTGTCACAGTTGTGTATGGACAGGGGGGGACTGTATGGTAGGTAGCGCTGTTGCTTCCTGGTAACAACATCTTGATGCTGCCTGAGTGTGTGTACAGCAGAACTCCAGCATCAGTGATTTTGTTGCCAGGGGGAGGACTGTGTCAGCAGGATCAGCCCAATAAAAAATATGCTTGGTAAACATTAAAGACTATGCTAATACATTGTACAATGCATAATACGTAGAATAGAATTTAACTTAACTCATGAATTAATTTTTCAGCTTGCATTTTATGTTCTGAGAGACTTTTTTGATTTGTTGCAGTTGCTTTCTGAATACTCAAGAGGGAGCAATGGGCAACTCACATGGAACCGACAACTCTAGTACACTTGAGACACACTTCACATTCAAGTTTTATTTTTTTCTCTAAGCATTTTTGAGTCAACTAGCAGCTATATAATATAGTTTCTTGTAATTGTAATTTATAATACATAATTAGCTTTGGAGTAACTTTATGATTATCTCAAAACTAATGATTGTTGTAACTTTGTTGCTATTGTATGTTATATTCAGTGTGCATAAGTAGTCAAAAATGAATATCATTTTTATTTTTATGCCAATACTCAAACAATATTTTGGTAGTCCATCAATACATCCAAGACAATATACACGATATCCAAATTTTGCATATCTCCAAAACAACAATTGCAATATTATCTATTTTTGCATACAGTTCCCAAATGATTATGACATTTATGATACTGAGAACCCCGGTTTGAGAATTCTGAATATTCATTTCGAATCTTAACTTGTTCATTGTCTCTAATACAGAAAGGTTATTAAGTAATCAATATCTTAACATCTTCTCATGCACTAATCTGCTAAGTAAATACTCAATCAAATACACATGTCTAACTGTAAGTCCTAAAATGATATGTCCATACTTGTGCAGATATCTCAGTATTGTCTTGTCTCTAGCTCTCCTGCATTGCCTTGATCAGCGTGTCAGCTGAGTTACATTAGGACAGCTCAGTTATTGATCACGGTCGTGCTACAGAAAGGCCAGCTGCTGCAGCCTCCTGAGAGCATCCCGTAAAGTGAGCCTTCTGTCCTGGGACATCCACCATTTCCGACCTTCACTCCTCCTCTGTCTCCTATCTTCCTCTTATTTTGCTCCTTCGCTTCTTACCCCCTCCATCCTCTTTTACTCCCTATATGCAGTGCTCTATATGTTATTCTTTCTGTACTGTGGATATTTGGACATGCTTTAAAGCCAGTGATCTCCCAGAATGCAAGGTATGAGTGTGGTTGTCTCCTGTTTTGCAACATATTATGCACCAGCATGATTCGGCAAGAAATCTCTATGTTTGGTTCTTGGTTTTGACAGAGTTGAAGCGCTTCAGCGGTGGAGCTTGCTTGGTGATTTCACAGGATGGTGTAGACTGGTTTTGTAAGAAGAGATGCACTGATGAGAACATAACAAAAAGGTAAGATTTTAAGTCAAGTATGCAGAAAAGCTTTTACAGTCTTGTCCCTTAGCCAGTGCACCTGTTACACAGCCAAGCATTAATTTACCCTCAGATTAGCTACGACGGCCTGTGAGCTCCTTGCACTTGCTGTCTGCGTGTCCACTGACATGCTTTACGTCACAATGAAAGTGAGTCAGCTCTCTCTTCCTGTCCTGAGTCACTTGTCGACTGGTTGCTTGGTTACCTGCGAGCGTTAAAAGTTTCCTGTTGCGTCATTGTCTGCCTGGCTGGTCGGGTCCCCATATTTATTCAAGCGTAATAGCGAGTGGCCAAGTAAACTGCATGCAGTTTTATCCGACAGACAAAGGCTGACAAATCAGATTTAGTGTGTCCTGGGGTTTGATGCGCACTAAGGGGCAGGCTGTACATTGTCGTGATAAAAATAGGTGAATACATGGAGCTGTTTCAAATATGAGATTATCTGCAGTTGTAATACTGAATTGTAAAGGTTTATGACATCATGTTTGTTTGATTGACCTTATTTGGTTCAATGTGGAATACAAGCACAAGCTACATGTTTGCACTACAGTCATTAAGTGTTTTTACCACTACAGTTTTGCTAAGCAACTATTTATTTGATTTTTATTACATTTGGAATCTGTACCTTATACATAGACAGAAGTAATACACCGTTAATAAGATAAACATGTGGCTGATTTTTAAATGTATTGTCCATAAATTGTCCATTAAGCCATTATCACAAAGACATGCAACAAAATCATGAGAGACTAGGCTGAAACTCTCAACAGTTACTTTGTTTACATACACATATTACTCTGAGGCAAAAGAACTGCCATGCATACAAACCACTGAGCAACAAAATGCCTTTGTCTATCTTTAATATACGTCTACCTTTAATATTTCAGTTGTGATCATCTAATCAGCGTTAAATCTTGTGGTTTTATTTGCATTCTTTACACAGAGATGGCAATGTTCAGCTGTGGATATCTAAGAACCACATGGACTCTGGTGAAAGTGAGTTGCTGTCTTTCTACTGCCTTCATGACTCTGGGAGCGGATGGACCAACAAAGGAACAACACAATTCACAGTGTGTAGTGTCCCAGCTCTGGATTCCTGTGGAAATCAGCATGCTTTTACACTACCTTTCATAAACTCAGCATATGCTGAGCAGTCTCCATGGACAGACTTGCCAAAGACCCCAGATAATGTCAATTACATCACAAAGAATTTAAACTGCAGCCCAAAGGAGAGGGTTGTAATACTATATAAAGATAATTTTCTTGCAAATCTTATCTCTGATGCCATCAACTGTCACGATATCTGGCCCGTGGAGATTACTGGACCATTCCTTAATGCCGATATAGAAGATGTAAATAGGCCCGATATTTTCAAGACTAGGAATACCCAGAGTCACAGTGATAATGTGATCAACAAAAACTACAGTGACAGCTTTATATATGATGGAGAAATGGAGAAAAAGTCTGGACTAAGACACAGGAGGAAGAGTGTGTCCTTTGCTGATGATGTCATGGTGTATCTATATGATAAGGTAATTCTCTTGATCCTTTTGAAAATAATGACAACAATACTGTATAATTAAAATATTTATCTCATAATAACAACTAGAACAGGCCAAATCATGCATACACCAATGTAATTAGTGAAGTAGATAATAATAGTTACCAATAAACTGTTTCCTGTGTTAAAAAAACCAAATACACAATGTCGTAATTAATTTACTGTTTGAAGCAGCACAATGACTTCTGGAGGAGGTCTTAGTATGGGATGAGAAGTAACATAATGCAGTGTTTACATGATCTGTTTCTTATTAATATTATTTATTATATTCCCCAGGACAGTCCTGCTGACAAGTTTCACCCTGAGCCAGACAACACCACATCCTCCTCTTCAAATCTCTCAGAAATCTTCTTTGACAACAATGGTAATTTTCCAACAGACCTGATTTGCTTAAGTAAAGTAAAACATTTTATTCTCTATAATTCTTTCAAGATGGAACTAGGGTGGGGACTCCACTGTTAACAAACACTGATGTTTGTTAGCTTGTCCCTGTGGGCTATTAGCACTTTATTGTATTAACTTGTGTGTTTGTTTTCCCTGCAGGTCTGGAGTGGGAAGACGAATTTTTAGCCTTAGAGAACTGTCACCTACACAACCACAAAGAATCTTGTCCCTTCTCTTCATCTTTGCCAACTCAAAACTGGACTATTCCCAAACCCAAACATCTGTCTCAAAGCTGCCTCTTCCTCACACATGTTAACGAATCAGACCTTGAACTGTGAGATAAACCATTTAAGGCAGGCCAATATTGAGTTTTTTCATTAGTAACCTTCCTCGTCTAAGGCCATAATGCTGTCACCATGGCCCACACTTCCACACTTGTTTTGCCCTCAGACAAACAGCCTTGGCATAATGGAAAAACCGCACTGGTCCTCCCCACTAGCTCATCTCGCTCCTCTTTTATGATGACTCAGGCTTTTTAATAGTACCCTTTGCCCCTCTCTCTCCATTTCTGACCCAAATGGATTTAAAGCACCTGCCGTTCTTGACATCACAGTTTTCTGAGAGACACGATCTGTCAGGTTCTAATAGGATGCAACAGGATGTTATATAATTCGGAGGCCACAAAGGGTCACCTGTTGACACTCTTTGGTTCAAGCCCCAACGTTAGATAAATGTAGAAATATGCAAATATTTTTTTAAAAGTGTATGCTGGCAATCTTATGATTTACCTGATTAACCCCAAAAGTATTTTTTAATTACCTTTGCATTGATCAGTGCAATAACAAGCTTGTTCCTTTTTGTGTAATAAATTGCCTAAATGTTTCTGCTCTCTGTTCTGCTTTTAATTCTGTGTAAATATTCACTCTGTGTTGATTTGTTCAGCTCATACCAAGTATACTTACTGTAGTGTATTTATATTACCTTAGAAGTTATCATCAGTTGTGGCTAAATAAACAGTTTAGGGCCTGTGGGCAGCAGAGGCAGAAACTGAACAAACTCACAGTAACAGATAATGTTTCCACTGCCTGCAGCCTGCATCAACGAGCTTTGGTTGATTAGATACACTGGAGCTGAGGAGAAAGAGGAAAGCTGCCAGCACCATTCGTAGTGTTCACACACGCACTGTTCAAGGACAGTCCACTGGCAGCAAGTGGAGCTGGGAGCAAGCACCTGTAACTCTGCTGATGAGGCTTTGTGTCACTTTAAACTTTGCTCAATACCTGTTAAGAAGATACAACTGAACCTGTTACAGTAAATAATTAGGCAATTTTATTTATTAAGAAAAATTACAAAATCTACATAATCTAAATGTGGTAGGGGAATTGCAAAATACTGGTTAGATTTGAGTCCTGTCCTAACTGCTACTTCTTGTTGGCGCCTCAGGACAAACAGATAGTTGACTCACTACAGATCACACTACAAAATGTAACATTAGGATCAACCACAAGTCTTAAATACGATATTTACTTTGCATTTCCAGTATTTATGTTTAAAAAGCATCTGTGGCATAACTGTTGCATCTGGGCAGGCAGGTTTTAATTAGGGTGAAACAGACTTGTTGTTACAGGAGGACTGTATTCAAATTGGCCAGAATATGTGATAAGCAGCCATGTAAATTATGTGAAACTAATGAAATTGTTAATATACAATGCATGCAGTGTGAATGTCGTAAAAGGAATATACTGGTGTGTTGCAGGTTGGCAGCAGTGTCGTAATTTCTATTGATAGGCTAACCACAAAATTAAAAAATGAACACATTTGTCATTTCAACTCTAATACTAGGCCTGTGCGTTTTTGCCCTGTTTTGTTTGTGAATGTACCATGATGTACATGTGGCTTTGAGTTTTGACGTGTAGCAGGTGGGAGGGTCATACGGTGAGAGCGCGCACTGTGATTGGCTGAGAAGCGCAACGTGTTCATCAGTCAGTCCCAGGTAGCGCTCATGTGCCACAGTTATCTGTGTGCGTCTCTTACGTCGGCACTGTGCCGCGCTTTCAGCCACAACCTTATTTTTAAATATACTTTTCAGATCCTGATTAATGTGACTCTTTGCTGGAATTATATCAGAGGAGAAGACTCTTATTTACAAAAGGTAAGTTGTTTTAATCATACTCTAGCCTCTACTGTGAACCTGACTTGTTTATTATCAGTTTCAACATCGTATGTGTTTAAATGATGGAAAAGTGCCGTATGCAAACCTTATTCTAATATTTAACTGTAGGTAGGCCTATCTTTTGACAGGTATGCAACTCCTATCTGAACAATGGGAAACAAATTTTACAAAGTAACAGCATTTACATATCTAGTACAAATATGATAACGCTTTTCTGTCATCATGCTCGTACATTAAGAAAATAAAATGGGCTATGTGGAATTATAATAGTGAATGAAATAATGAAAATAGTAAGATCTACCATGTGCAAAATAAAGCAAAAAATTCGTTTTTGTGCTTTTATTTTGATGGTGTGAAGTGTAACCTTGAAATAGGTCCTATCTGGGGAGCACAGGGATAAGGAACTAGATTACCAGCCAACATCATGGAGTTTTCACACTGCGTGGGGCTGATTAGATACAACAGGATGCAGACCTGTTTGAACTGGAAGATGCCATGCTTATTTAGGGGATTTTGGAGAAACCTGCACACACATTATTTAAAATGAGTATGTAAACGTTGTATTTTATTTCAGATTTGTGGACTACCATTTGTGAAGTACCAAGATGAAGTCAAGAGCAAAAGCAGGAAAATTGTCCACAAGGCCCTGGTCTGACCCGGAGCCTGAGCTTGAGGCAGACACAGAAGCAGAGGCTGTGTCCAGTGAACCTGAGGGCTCCGAGGACTCTTGGAGGGGCTCCCTGAGAAGTAGCGGCCCCAAACGCGGATCAGGAGGAGGGGGGCGGCGGAGGAAGAGGACACATGGCACCAGTTCCAAAGAACGCAGCATCCGACGCCTAGAGAGCAACGAGAGGGAACGCCAGCGCATGCACAAACTCAACAATGCCTTCCAAGCCCTGCGTGAGGCCATTCCACATGTGAAGACGGACAAGAAGCTGTCCAAAATCGAGACCCTCACTTTGGCCAAGAATTACATCAAAGCCCTGACTACAATCATCCTGGACATGTCGGGAGCCTGCTCACCCAACAGTGCAGCCCAGGCAGAAAGCAACACGGCCAAATTGCTGCAGTGTTACCAGCAGCACCTGGAGGAGGAGGGAGAGGACGATCTCACTCAGTACCTCACACAAATACAGGACAGCTTCAGCCAGGACAGCTAACACAACTTCACAGACTAAAGGTGCACTATGTTACCTTTGTTGAGAAGTGTCCACTACCTTCTCCAAGGAGATGTAGTTTTGTCTGGAATATTTCATAGTATAGCATTCAACTCATCTATTTACATGAAGATAAGCAGGTCACACCACCAGGTCTCATTACAGGCCAGATCTGTGGAGAGGTGATGCCACTCACAAGAAGAATGCTTATATTTCCAGGTATTTCTGACCACAAAACACCTGTGATTGAAGAAATACAAGATATCTATGTTTAATGCCATGCTGTGGAACATTCCAAGCAAAACTAATAACATCTCCATGGAGCCAAGCAGGTAGTGGACCTTCCACCAGAAAAGTTACATTGTACACCTGTAACAGACAAGGGCATGGCAGAAATGAGTGATGAGTGGGCCGTGTATTGACATATGAAGTACTCTACCACCAGCATGCGTTTACTTGTCTGGTTGCTTCAGACCAAAAACGTTTCGGGAACATAGGAGGACTTAGGAGGACCAACCAACATGGCAAACAGAGAATGCAGAATATTATCAGATCACTCTTTAAGACTATAAAGAATTGATCTCACTGTTGGTTTTACATTGATGCTGTGAAGGGGGAAGGGTAGTTCTCGTTTTTTTTCTCTTGTCATCTATGTGTGCTCAGTTGCGAAACCTGCTACGCATACCCTCTAGACATAACTGCTTTATTTTGGAAGGAAATTATGCACTACAGGGACCTTACCTACTGAAAATGTATTTCGCCAAATTACAGTCACATTTCCAAGCTTATTCAAACTTTTACAGATATTTGTTTTCTTGTATATTTTTAAAGAAAGATTATTTCAGCTTTGTATTAATAAAACATAATTTATTGTCAACAGCTCACATGTTTGCTGTGCACTTGACACTTAAAATTAAAATGGAATTCATATTTTTTTACGAATAACTTGTTACAGAACACAAATGTCCCAGTTCATATCCTGTACATTGCAGTATTTACATGTAGCAATTTGCTGTACATGCAATTTGATCATAACTTTTCAACAGATTTGTCATAACATCCCAAGTAAAGTAGTAATAACTTAAGTAACAAAAATATCTTTTATAATTTTAATAACCTGTAATTACTAGTAGTCATGCACATTTTCCAGAGAAGCCTAAACTATCTTTGAGCCAATCATTGCACATACCCCACACCCCACAGAGAGTCTTTAGTCACACTCACATAGCACAATAATTAGACTTCTGCACATAGTTGTAGTGGTTTTCTCATCTCTTTTTATAGCAGGGTTTTCCCATATTGACCTAGGTCAATATGGACAATAGTGGTCTGAATCCAAACATAACTGGCTGTTCTTTCCAAAGCAGCAAAAAGCACCTGTTTTAGACATACAGCAGATTGTCAACCAAGAGGATATAAGAACTCAGCTGCCTTTCTCAAATGTTCAACACTGGCAATGCTTTTCGTTTGCATTTTCTTGCTACACGTTTAAAGTGACCAGAGAAAGTACACATACATTTACAAAATTAATATACAAGAAATGCAGATGTCACATGTGAAACAGATCCCACTCTAACGGAGGCATCACATTCTGATTATAAAATAATATATTTAAATCGTGAAGAGGGTAAAAGTGGTCCAGCTTTAGATGAAGTTAAAATAATAGAGGTATGAAGATGACCATATAATCACAGATATATCAATAAGGGAAAAGTCTCATCACAAACGTAACCATGACATAAGCTTGAGGCTTGTTTAACAGCCCATAGCATTTCCGTTGACCTCTGTGCTCCTGACAGGCTCTGGGCTCCTATTGGCTGAGAAAGGCGAGTTAGTTAAAGATGGTAGACGTAAGCGAGGTGGATCCATCGCATTTCCTCTGATTGTGATGTGGTCCCATCCTCCCTATAAGCATGATATGAAATTAGTCATATTTAGGGACCACATCGCATCTGTGCAGTGTGCCATTTAGTGCCTTACCCCAATGCCATAGTCCCAGGTGTGTCCCTTGGGCTCTGTTGGCTGAACCCCGAGCCTATGACACACTGTCCCACAGCTCAGACTGTGACTGCCCTGGACCTTGTCAGCAATGATCCAAACCTAGGAGACAAAACATGTCTCATTTCTGATAGCCTTTAATTGTAAAGCATGTAAAGCATTAAAGTAAATAATTGATACCTGGTCCAAGGGGCCAACACTGACTTTACGCACATTATTGGAGATGTGTTCCCAAAAAGAGCCCTGAGGATAGCTAGGTGTCACACCCTGTCTGTACCACAGGTTACCTAAAACATAAAAAGATGTTTTTCTAAATACAAGTCCAGAATTAGCCACTGCATTTCATCTGTCTTAATAAACATAACCATAATTGGAGCAGCACATTACCATTTTCATCCACAGTATAGACAGATGTTCTTCCAACAGACACTTGCTTCAATTTCTGCTTGGCTGGGGAAGGGATGTGGTACCAGCTGTCACCTGCAGAGGGAGTCATATGCTTAAGATCATATTACATAGAACTCTTAAATTCATGAGTTCCATAACCAAAATGAAAATGTAATGTTAATAAGCTTTTGATTTTACCTGCTGGGTTCTCAGAAGACACAGCTCCTCTGTAGAAAGCTGATCCATCTCTAGCAATAGCCCAAACCTGACTGACAGCTCCAATGGAAACAGACTTAAAAGGCTGATCAGTACCAACATGAAGCCATGAGGATCCCTAAAGGTTATATGAATAAAAATGCAGTTTTAAAAATGTATAATGGACAATTGGTAAGCTTTAATAACTGATAAGTGACTTATATCAAAAGGGGGTAGTCAGGTAATCAGGTAATAAAGTGCTATACCGCTGGAGTGAGAGTAGTGACCCCCAGCCGACATAGCACATCCCCCTTGTTGCTGATGGCCCACAGAGGGACCACCTCCACACTGCTCGGAGTAGCACAGGGCAGGATGGACACATCGCTCAGAGGGATGGGGGGGATCTCCTGCCATGGGCCTGTGGTGGTCAGTTTACACTTTCTGCACAATTAAATATTAAGTTATGGATATTTTACAAACAGCAATAAGGCAAAGTTTGTTTTTAATAGTACCTGGCCCACCGCCTACGCCGCACAAAGTCCTTAATTGTTTTATAGCCATGATATGACCTGAAGGTAGAGGAAATAAATCAGCATATTAGTATGAGTGGCCATGTTTTATATGAAATAGTATGAAATAGTATATGAAATAGTATGAAATAGTATGAAAAAACATGGCTCTTACGCAGGAAAATCAGCTGCATACTGCCAGCCCTCTTTGTCTGTCCCCCCTGAGACACTGTAGTCAATGGCCCAGTCTGACACCTTTAACAGTATAAGGAAATTAATTTGAAATGAAAAAAATATATATAATAATAATTAACAAATAAATGATTAATATCACATAATAAGTTTGTATGTAATAATAATGAGTACATGTGTGCATACCCATGTCCACTGAGGAGAGGGGGGTTTGGTATTTGTTTTGGTGCACTCATGTAGTCCGGAAGCATCGCTCCACATGTAACGGTCAGTAGGTAATCCTCTAAAATATTGTATAAAAATTGAACCATTACATACATACATTATACATTTAAGCGCCAATATTCTCTGACGAGGTCAATGTATCTTCGAGTGTTCATCTCACTATTAAATCAATTTTAACTTGTAGCACAGTAACAAGACCAACTTGCTGAGACTTGCAAAAACCTGCAGAAAGCCTTCAGTTGAACAGAACTTAAAAGCCATAATGTGAAGCATTTTTTCCCCATCATAATATAGCAGTTTGTATGATTTTTATGTTAAGTCATGTGTAAAAGCAGGGATGAGGTTTTATTATTATTATTATTTAGTTTATTTAAAAATTTGTTATAATGCGTATTGTGAAAGTCAGTAAACACACTAACCTGCTTGTGTAGCCGGTAACAGGATTCCACCTCTGGTTTTCATATATAAACACGCTCTTCACATCAGTCTGTGTATAGATATTGTCTGTGCTGCTAGCTAATCCCTGAAGGAAGCCCCCTCCATATCCTCCAGTGTAGGCCCAAGCAGTGTGGTCATAGCCAATACCCCAAACTATGCCAACACTGTTTGCCTCCACCGTGCGCAAGTGACCACCAACCTGTCTCCAGAACCTGCACACATGTTTAAAAGAGATCAATAAAGCCATAATCTCAACATTTAAAGTGCAGTGAGTATAGACTTACATCTGGTCACATGGTGTTGGATAAGGCATGGCCTCTAGTGCAGGAGTGGGTTCACTCACAAAGATGTCTCCTTTACAAGTTATAGACCAAATGGCCTGCTTTGAGGGCACACCATGGATCCCTCTAGAGTCACAGCAGGACACACTCAGTAATGCCAGCTGAAGAGAGATGGGGAGGAGAATAACCTGTTATTAGTTAAATATATGGAAGTAAAATAAATCAGAGAAATAAATAGATCTTACCCAGTCGTGCATCTCCAGCTCAGTGGATGCAGCCAGTCTGATTGGCCACCTCTGCTTGGTTCTTTCAGGAGTGTAGACGGCAAATGTGTGTTTAGAGTCATTCAACACAGGAACCAGGATGGTCACCTCATTGATAAAGGCATGCAGATACTGGAAGGTGAAACCAGTTAAAATGGAAAAGGAATGACACAAAATCATTCCTGTTTGTTTGTACATATAGTACATGAAGACAATCACTTAATTATCACCTTCTTCTCTTCATAAAAGTTGTAGTAAATAAACAAGATTCCATCCTTGTTGCCATCTGGTCCAGAGAACTGCTCTAAGGCAAACTGAACATCAATCCACTTGTGAGGTTTCCAATCTCTCCACCACTGCATGGTCCCCTTTTTCACCCAGACAGACTTTTAACAGAAAGAAGAAACAAAAGAAAATAGATGTTAAATTATGAACATGTACATCTTCAGATATCAATTCTATTTTTGTCATAAAATCATATCTGACCTGTTCTACTGCTTGCTCATAATGTCTGAAATTATCTATTTCTCTTTTTGTCCTCTCGTTGAGTTGTTCAAAGATCTGCTTTCGCCAAGCTGCTGTCTGGGCTGGAGTAACAGACAGACTCATAGACTGCACTGACTGAGCCAAAGCTGAGAAAGAAAACAAACAGAACACACATGAATAAATTAGACTGTGCATGTGTTTAGCGAAACACATTTGGATGATTATAAATAAAGTATAAAACATGTATACAACTGTTAAATTGATAAGATTTTTATGTTGAATGATTGTATTTTATTGACCATTATTAAAAATGAATGACATTTTAAATGATAAAGGCCTAGTTAGCTCATAGCACTCACATGACGTGTTCAAAGAGCAGTGGAACCAGTTGGGTTGGGAGTGACTGTCCACATTGCAGGCTCCAGCACTGACCCAGGCCCACAATGGGTGTTCATCATTGGTGTATTGATCTTCCATGGCCAGTGTGAATGTGACTACCGAAGACAGGCTGCAGGTGTCAGCATATTCAGGCACCAGGCTACTCTGTGCCTGTGGGTTCTGCCCCTCCTCCAGATCCACATTGCTCCAGTGAGAGCCCAGAACCCCTGTAGGCTGACTGGGGGACAGCGCAACCTCCGTCAGAGTCTCTTCACTTGGAACTGGCTCCTCCTCTTGGACAGGAGTAGGAAGAGGCTGGATCTCCTTAGAAATCTTTCCAGGTTCTCGGTCTGACACTAGCTCAGAGATGAAGCTATCACTGGTGACCTTTGGGATACGAGGTTTGGGGGTGTCAGGGGTTGGGTCAGAGGGATTTGTGGAGGCATCAACAAATGACTCAGGGGCAACTGAACAGACTAGTCCTGGTCCCTCTGTGAGTGCTCGGTCTGGGTCAGACTCAGCTTCACTTGCAACAGACGGAGCACGTACTTCACCAGTGAAGAAACAGCCAGCACTGTGGGACACAGAGATGCCTGTTATGGAGAACAGCAAAGACAGGAGCTGCTCTGTACACTGAAGATGCATGCTAAATTAGATCAGTAAAGCCTAAGTGGAAACAGCTTTGACATGACAACAATTTGTCTAGGGCTGCCTTATTGGGTTAAGCAGACATACAGTACCTCTGCAGGCTGCTGGCGCTGGAGTGCGAGCGCTCTCCTTCTCGGGGAATACTGATGGTTTTCCAGGTTTTCCCGCTGAGTTCACTGGGAGTTACTCCCTGTCTGAAATACACTGCCCGATCCTCAGAGCCGATGCCCCACACCTATTAATAACAAGATTAGAAGTAACACAGTCATAAAATAACTTATCATTTCGGTTCAACTGAAATGTAAAATGGTAATTATTAACTTGGTCATTGAGTCCAACGTTGACCATCAGCATTTCCCCAACCATGTGGATCCAGCCAGAACCACAGGGATTATGGGAGTTTACTCCACGTCTGAACCAAACCTTTTACAATAAAATAGTGCTAATGTGTTAACATTATGGACCAAAACAAAGATCAACAGATGATCCAAAGAAATTATCTTTACCTTATTATCTTTTGTGACAGCCCACACAACATTGACTCCCACAGCAATATGTATAGCCCCCACATCTGGACTGGGAGAGTCCACCAAGGTCCAGGATGAACCTACAAATAATTATACTTTAACTACAATGCATAAATACTCACAATTACATTTTTCTACCCAATACCTTTACTTTTACCTTTAGGACAATCTCGTCCAATGCCCTCCCTCACGATGAACTGGCCCTCCCACAGTACTGCCCACACTAGGTCCCCCGGGCCACAGCTGATCTGGACCACCTCTCCAGGGAGTGGCACCTCCTCCCAGCTCCAGCCCTCTGGGTTGTGGTGGTAGATTCCCTCTCGGAACCACACCTTGACACAATGAGTCATTGAATATGACAACATGAAACATGAGTTAGTCCCACAGCAAAAATAGATGGACCATCATGACACTGCATAGCCATACCGGCTTGTCAAAGCCTGATCTCATCAGATCTCAGAAGCTAAACAAAGTTGGGCCTGGTTAATACTTGGATGGGAGACAGGTGGGAAAATCAGGTGCCACAGTGGAACGCAAGAGGCAAAATACCATTGTTGTGTCCTTGTGGCAAAGAGCTTCACCTACATCATTATCATTATCATTATTATTATTATTATTATTGTTACTACTACTACTACTACTACTACTACTACTACTACTAATAATAATAATAATAATAATAATAATATAAATGAAACATAGTGAGAGTACTACTTGGGTGAGGAGGGAGGGCAATCTGAATGTTGTGTTTGTTAGCCTTGTTAACACTGAATAACATTTTTACTTCCCTGTATTTACAGGAGTTGTACCTTTCCCTGCAGAGACACAGCCCATAAAGAGAGGCGTCCACGGGGCTCCTCACTGATGTCAGAGCCTCCACAGCTGATGTCACTGAACGGGTCTGGTAGAGTTGTCTGCTGTGAGGGAATCTATCAGGATACAGACAGTGGGAAAATAAAGCCAGTATACAGTATAATACATAGCATAATACAGTATAATTAAGTGCACACTACCTTGGCCCACATGTCCATAGCTTTGTATCTTCTGTACCGTAGCCAGCGCCTCCGACGGACACACGAGTTCCACTTTTTATCTTTTGTGTAGTTGGCGGGAAAGTCAATGGCATACGTCCACCCCTAAAATACAAAATAAAAGTTGAAAATGAATCTGCAAGTGCTACCCATCTTTTCCATTAATATATCACATAATTGAGAAGGGTCGTAGGTTGGAGACTTATTATGGGAGTTTGTGAATGTAATACTGAAGACAACTAAAAATAGTATCATGTTTTTATTCCAAACCTCTCTCTCTGTGGGCTCTCCCTCAAAGTTCTCGTCCACAAACCAGTCGCCCTCCCACTCCCAGCTGCTGGAGGGCAACTGGAACCCATCTAGTGGCTGGTGCTGCAGGCCACTCACATCACTCCACTGCCAACGGTCACTCGGCAAGAGTCGGTCAGAAAAACCATCCACCGGATTCCACCTCTGTTAAGAGATAAATCCAGAAATGCATTATAATGTATGCTGGGACAATTGTTAGTCCATGTCCTCTTACAGTGTGTTACAACATGTTCAGAAGCTCCTGTGTGAACATATGAGTGAGAGGAAGTGCAACACTGCTGTGAAAAAGTCAGCTAAAATCATAACCTACTAACCTACTTGGTTAAAAACATGGTCCTTGTGACAAATAGTGACCACACAACTGCTTTTAATAGATTTATAAGATTTTATTTGTCAAAACTACAACTACTATTATGTATGGACCAGAGTATATACAATGGAAACCATCAGATAACCTACTTGATTTTCATAGGTCTCTTCCTGATAACGCACAGGCAGGTCAGATGCATGGACGTTCAGATAGATGCTATTGTCACAGGCAATGCCCCAACAGCACTGCTGGGCTGCAGTTACCCGTTTGAACTCCATTTGGGCATTGCGGCACTGGTCCCACTGCTGTCCTGCAGTGGACAGGCTGTACACCCGCCCATGCACGTCTACGGCCCATAGTAGGGAGATGGGCATGGTAGCACCTGGAATAAGGACAGGACAAATCAAAAGTGTATCCAAAACTATTTATATCTTAGGACCTATTTACAGAAGTGAATGAAGGAAACTGTGGGGGAAAAAAACTCGCAAGTTGTCCTTATGTTGACATAGTAGGTCACGTGTTTGAATGGCACTGGCCCATACGCTGGTTCTGTTTTTGTTTATACAAATCTACATGTAGAAGACTACAGTAGGCTAATTTCATTTTCAGTATTATTCCCCGTCATTCTAATAAATAAGGATACAGATCTGAAAGCTTAAGCCTGTGTGTGTTCTTGTTGCTCTTCATCTGACAACACTGCGTAATTTGCAGAGATGCTGTTGTTGCTAACAGGCGTATCCTCCACCACTACAGTCCTTAGAATGCTTACTCTACCTAAGACCCTATTTTGGCTCATTTCGGACAGTCTTTGAAAACCAGTTATCCACTACACATCGGCAGCACTGTCAATTACCAACATCGTTAACAAAATATTGTTGTTTATTACAATGTAACACATCACATTATCTCCATATTTGTGCCAGGTCGTGCGGCTGTACAGTCCATTAAAATAGGCATACACTAGATCTATAAGCCACAGTTCAAGTTTGCACGACAGGAAAAGTAGGAGCATTTTAGTGACAGTCCGTATCTTGTTTTGGTGCAGGCTTACAGGCTTAGCTCTTGAAATAGAAGACACAGAGCGAGCAGCCTAAACTAAAACCAACCTTGTGTTTCCTTTCAGAAACAGAGAGGAAGCTTCGTTTTCACCGAGTGTCCATTTACGGGTGGGAGTGAATGGGCAGCAGGACCGGTCTGAATGCGGGGATCCCCTCTGATTCTCTCATCACAGATACGCAGGCTAAAGCCGGAAGTGAGAGGGCTCTTCTGAAATCTCATTGGTGCATTACAGCTCCGACTTCCACAGACAGGTGCCTGTGGTGTCTACTACCCAATGTCCAGCAGAGGGCGCTCAAGGTTTGCATCTCATTCAGACTGAAAAGCTATCAGTCTATAGAATATAGTCACTATGGTTTCCATTATGCTGTTGCTTTACCTGAAATGTTTCACAGTATGGCATTAAAGGACCAGCATGTAGCCTGCGCTTGTAGTTTTAAAAAGGTACTACAATCACAACTGAACCCGACTTGCCAGTACCTTAACCTGCAGATAGAGTGACATACAAGTATTTTTTCTCAGTTTATGGACAGGCCATGCCTTACGTGCAAGCTCAGAATGCCCACAAGTTCCCCACTGAGCTGCAGAGGCTGCACTAACACTGATTCATGATTAGCTGCAGGAGATGAGCTTTAGGTAGTGACCATTCAGACCAGAGAGAGGCATTTTAGGGTTAATATATATTGATTACAGCGCTGGAACTGGCAATCCAAATGAGACTCATGTGAGACTCCATCTGCTTTCAGATTGGATAACTGTCTTAAGAAACAAAACACCAAATCATAACATAGGCTAAATAAATGAGAGATCATGCCCATTGTTTTATAATGAAGAATACATCAGTGTTAGACTAGGCTATAATTGATGTTTACTTGGTATCTGAGGGCAAAGGTAGGTTAAGTTCCTTTCAACGTATCTGTCTCCATGAAGACAAGCAGGTGATGCCAGCAGCCAACATTACGGGTATTTTAAAGCAATGCAAATTAGATTCATTTAATGTCATACTTTGGAACATTCCAGGCAATGAAATAACATCTCCATGAGACAAGCAGGTGGCAAACAGCGACCAGAAAAGTTACCCAGTGCACATGCCTGCTTGCTAACAACAACAAAAACAAAACACATATTTCTTCATATATTTTGATTTTATTGAGAAACGTACAATGGTCAACACAGTAGCAAAGTGTGCAAAGAATGATACAGCATGTGGAAATAGTTATATTTAATTTATAATAATTTGTGAGTTCTTACTCTTCTTCCAGTCCTTTTAGCATAAAATCTGCATGTAGTCTTTCTTTCATAAAATACTTTTGAGCTCAGTATACACATACAACAGGTTTGGATGCATTTTCATTTTTCTCTGTACAAACAATCAGAATGACTACACAATAAAAACAGGAGTGTAATTATTCCCCTCATCAAATGGCCATTTGCCCATTAAAACACATGCTAGGTGTCAAACCAAAATCAGTGAGAATTTGCTCAAAGTGAGCACAGCAGCTTCTATAAAAAAAATCACTGACACATTTCTTTGTCTTCATTAACATGAGAACCTGTGACCCAAACCTCTCTCCTTCATTCTAACAATGTCTTTGTAAAAGAAACACAAAATTGTTAATAATAAAAAATAGTTAGGTCAGGAAGACAGACTGGGTGCTACTGCTAATTGTTTTCACCAATACAATGTTTTTCTCTGCACTGCCACATGTCTCAAACAAATAAACTAGACTTCAACCTGAGCATCTTTCAAAACCCTTCAAAATACATCATACAAAATAGGTTAAGACGATCAAAACAGTAAAACATAAACCATACAATGTCGTTCAGAACCATTAAAAAATTTGTAGCCAAACGGTTTATAATGTGCATCAGGAATATTCCACATATGTGCAGTGTTTTATTTGGGAACACTTATAATACAATACAGTTGTGTTTTTT